TGGGGAGGGGAGCGAGGAAGAGAGGGAAAGCAAAGCCGCTGGGTCATCTAATCCAACCACAGGCTAGGAGAGCTGCTCTATTTTTTTCCTTTCTCCCTGACAGGGCTCTTGTGCCTAGAAGCAACTGCGAAAAGAAAAAACAAAATGTGTTATAAAAGTTGCTTTTCTCCGGGGGTTTTTTTTTTGGGGGGGGGCTTTTACCTGTTGGATATCTGCCTGTTGTATCATGCACAAAGTCTCTGCGATTAACAATTACTGCTGCGATTTCTCTCTCTCTCTCTCTTTCTCTCTCTTTCTCCCTCTCTCTTTCTCCCTCTCTCTCCCTCTCTCCCCTTGACAGATTCCTGGACATCCCTTTTGTTTACTTAGGAAAGTTTTTTTGCTTAATGTAAACAAAATAAATAAGATGTCGGTGCTGGAAAAAGAACTGCGCAACAAGAAGGGAGGAGCTTCCGGTCTGAACGATAGCTTCCTCTGGGAAATCTGTTATAAGCTTTGAGCTGCGAGTAACGAGGAAAATGCCTTTAAAGCGGAGGTGTGGATAAGGGATCCGGCTACAAGAACGACAGCGTATATTTTAAAGTCGAAAGACATAAAAAGAGAAAAAATCGTTCAAAGAGCTTGGGACTTTATCGGAAAGGCGTGTTGAAAAGCGGCAGTTGCAGACTGAGAGCAGGCAAGCGAAGACCCGGAAGAGAAGCTAAAAAGCTGGAGAAGAGAATGAGGAGGAGGACCCTTCCTGTCTTTTCGGAGGAGAAACCAGCCCGAGGAGAGAAGAACCAGCTCGCAAGGCGTTTGAAAAGTTTTTACTAACAGCAAAAAAGTGGGACACTACTAATTTTTTAACAATTGTTTATAACTGAGAAGATGAAAGACGATTGACAACACAATGAAGCCAAAGAAGAATCTTTTTTTATTATTACTAACAGATTAACATACTAATGAAAGCATCACTCGACCTTTTCTTTACCCATCTATATACCCTCCCCCATTTCTAATATGAAAAGCAATAAAATTCTCTCCTTTTTAGGAGAGTTTATATTAAAAAAAAAAGATTTTGCCTCTAGTCGATTCTGCTTTGCGGGGTGCCCCCCCCTTTCGAGGTGCACATCTGTCTGTTGTGATCTCCTTCCCTACCATTGCACTGCATTTCGTTGCAAGCCTCTTAGCCCGGGCCCCATCTCAGAGTCAGGCTCGGCCTCTTAAAGCAGCAGCACGCACGGATTTAGCTGGGGAGGGGAGGGAGGAAGAGAGGGAAAGCAAAGCCGCTGGGTCATCTAATCCAACCACAGGCTAGGAGAGCTGCTCTATTTTTTTCCTTTCTCCCTGACAGGGCTCTTGTGCCTAGAAGAAACTGCGAAAAGAAAAGAAAAAACAAAATGTGTTATAAAAGATGCTTTTCTCCGGGGTTTTTTTTTTTTTTGGGGGGGGGGGGCTTTTACCTGTTGGATTTCTGCCTGTTGTATCATGCACAAAGTCTCTGCGATTAACAATTACTGCTGCGATCTCTCTCTCTCTCTCTCTCCCCCCCCCTTGACAGATTCCTGGACATTTTGTTTACTTAGGGAAGTTTTACAATGTACTCTTC